AAAAAAAAGAAACCAAAACTATATATCCACACATGATCTCTACCCTCGAAAAATTGCAAGCTCGATCCCCAGCACGGCTGCCGATCTAAAGCTGACTTTTTTCTCATTGCTGCAAGACAGGGATGGGATTCTTGGCATAGAACATCTGCAGCACAAGGTGAGACACAGCACTGGCGGAGTTTCTCCCTCCTCGCCGAGCCCCTAGGTGGGCCAGGCTCCCTCCAAAGTCCTCGTCCCTATAAACCCAATGGAGGGTTGGGGAGTCCAAGCTTTCCTCAGAAAGATGCAAGAACATGTGAAATTTGGGCTTGTACCGCCAGACCGATTGATCTGTGTAAAGAGTGGCTAAGCTAGCATACAAAATCAAAAACTTGCGGCATGCTCCAGCCAGCTTGTCTCTATCAAAGTGAGCAACACTCAGACATGAATAGCACTCTTGGAGATACCCACCTGCATCAGTTGCAGCTCGATGCTCAGGTGTGTTCCGAGTAAGGAACTTTGCACAAGCTTCAGGAATCCAACCAATGAGGCCCCGGGCTTCGCCCGCCTTGCACCTCAGTTTCGGGCTGGAGGTGCTATTCTTTTTGATCATTCCAGCAGTGAGGTGGTCAAGCCTGGAATCGGTACCATTTCTTTTGTAAAAATCTTGCACATGCTTGAACAATGTAGCTAGTCTATCCTTCTCGCTTCCCGGTATCTCCTTGAGGATCGTATGCATGAGACATCCCAGATAGTCTGCTGCTACACCTTGATCAACACAATGAAGCCAATCGATGGCAAAAACACTTGTTCGGAAGCCAGGAGCTCCGTACAAAGGTGGGCAAGATCCTTCTTTTGCATAAATCTTCGCCACCAGCTGCCAATGTGTTAATGGTAACTGTCGCCACGGAGCAGAGCTGCTGGGATCCATGAAATTCGTACTGTCGGCTTGGCACCTATAGCAGCAGCTGTCTCGCTCAGCCCATCCAGGGAGGCGAAATGCCGACTTAAAAGCCGACCAGTCCCCCCGCACTTCGACCAGCAAACCTTTTGGCAAGGCCCTACCTGCGAGCTTGGCTCT